TTTTATACATTTTTCTTCATGAATTTAAAAAATTATAATATTTGATTATTTTCATTTAATTAAGATGTGGTCGTTAAAGATTTACTATGGTTAGACTTTTAAAGAATTGTTGATGCGACACAATAAATATATAAAATTAAAAATGATAAATTACACAAATTATCATTAATATTTGGATAAATATTTGTTTTCTCTAATGAAGTTTCAAAAAGTAACTAGTTAAACCCATTTTACAATATATGTCTAAGAACGATCCTAATCGATCGGGAAGTTCTACAGTGTGGCACCCCTAATATACGGCTAAAAAAAGGTGTTACTGGAATAACATAACCGGTAAAAAATGATCTAAAACATTATTATCTCTATCGATTTTGTTATTATTGGGTACTTTACCAAGCTTGATAATATATCCCGTAAAGCGCTACCTAACATTTTTTTTTCTATTGTATATATTACCAAACCCGGTAAAGCACCCAATAATAACAAAACCGATAGAAATAATAATGTTTCTGGTAATTTTTTTACCGATTTTGTTATTTAAATAATAACAAAACCAATAACGCATTTTTTTAATCGTATATTAAGATTGTCGCACGCCATCATTTCTCCAATCGATACGGAACTCACCAGCACAAAAAAAAAAAAAAAGTCAAAACATTACCAACTGTTGCTATTAAAGACAATTTGCAGTGTTTGGTATGTTTGGATTAATCATTTCCATCTGTAAAGCTTTGCATTCCACCCCTTTACGAGAAAGAGGGCATAAGTAACCGAAGAACACAACGGATGGTAAACGGACGATGTATGAGATGGTGGAAATGAACAGTTGTAAGTGTGTGCTAGCCTTCTAGGAATATGGTTTTAATTAAAATGAATATAGAAAGACTGTATTTTGAAGGAAACAGATTACAATTCATCATATTAGTCCACTTACATCTGTTGGGTTTATATAACCCAAACTCGTAACCAATTATTGACAAACCTAACAAAATAATCAAGCAACTAATTACAGATAATCGTCTAACATTCACCCTACTTCTTCAACCTTCTTGATTCTTAAGCAAGAAATACAATCATGGTGATAGTGAGTTGATACAAACATTACACTTGAACTGATTCTTGAATACATAAGTCGATTATCAAATCGAAAACAATGCACTTCTTCCATGCTTTCCAGTTTGTTTCATCTTCACTGTCCTCCATCACTTATTCGAACCTTGTTTTTATTAGAAGTAAGGTGGCTAAGCTACGAGCTCCCGGGTACAATCTAGAGTCTCTTGGACAAAAAAATACCGTGTTTTATCGAGTTAAGGAGGATAAGGTTGTTAAACTCTTACGCCCTCCCCTAGAATTTTCTATGATGAATACTTGACTATTAGACATTTAAGTTCCATACTACACCTCGGAGAAGAAGCAACAAACGATGAACAAACTTTTTTATTCTAAAGAAAATCTTCATCTAGAATTCCTCATAAACTCTTTTTCATTCACACAACCATATTTAATCACTCATATTTTTCTTGGAAGCAAGATTGTTAGGCTTTGAGCTTCTAGATGAATTTGAAGCTCGTTTTAAGCAAGAAACATCTTATTTTTATCTGAATAACAAAAAGTATGGCGGTTAAGCTATATATCTCTCCCCAGAATTTTCTTTTCCTCCATGAACACCTTTGAACTGGTGCGTAAACTGAGAACCAAATAGTGAATGCAGTAGCCAGTAATAATCGAAAGCATAAGCAGGAGTAGTGAAACCAGAGATGTATCAAGAACCATACCCAAACAATGAGCAAACAACGATCACTAAACCAACCATACCCAGGATAATGAAAAATAGCAAACTACCCTCAAAGTAACAGATGTAAGAAACACAAATTTAATATATCACAAATACACCATCTATCAACCATGATATTAACCACCAAACGTAGTACGGGTAGCACAAAGTACAACCGAAGAAATCAAGAACAGAATAGCATAGGCTCCAAATTCAATGATTTATAGCGTCAAAGCTACAGAACTAAACTCCAAGATCTCAACAAAAACTAATTAACTTAACAAAACCAATAGCGGCAGAGGTATATCATATTAAATTGAAGCAGCAGCGCAGGTTCAACAATCGAAAACTTTTCATATCAATATGTAGAATCTGAATCAACAGTAATCGAGGAAACAAAAAAGGTTAACTTGTGACAACAATAATAGAAAAAAAAAGGCGTAGACACGCAATTGAAGTCCATCACTGATGGAGAAAGTATCACCAGGGCTGTCGGAGACAAGGACATCGACGACGTTTGATGATCGGAACATGCATCAGTACCAAAGGAAATAAACAGTGACACGTGTGAGACTTGCAATAAAGGAAGCGTCTATTTTGGACTGAGGAGGAGGCAACGAAGGAAAATTTACTGAGATTGAGGAACCCGATCGAAAAAAATGGAATGTCAACAGCAAAAAAAAGAAAACATCAGTATCTTTGGCTGAAGATCTCGAGATAGTATTTTGTTTAGTTTTATGCAAAAACCTGTAATAGATCTCCTAGTCATCAAGCAGGTTGCCCAATCAGCATCACAGTAAGCTGATAGTTGACAATTACCCTTTCTTTTCAACAAGATTCCTCTTCCAGGATCCTTTTTTAATGTATCTAATGATTCTATAAGTAGCTTCCAAATGGGACTTCTTCGGTTGTTACATGAATTGACTTAAATAATGCACCCCATAGGTGATATCAGGCTTGTATGAGTCAAGTATATCAACCTTCCAATCAACCTCTGAAATACTCCCTTTTTTGTTTCCAGCAGTTCATCATCACAAGTGTTGTCTTCACTGTTTTGCTGTATCACTTCATCATAATCCTTTGTGGTTAAGTTCACATTTTCATGACAGGTTTGGCCCTTGCTAAACCAGTGTCTTGTATAAGTTCTAAAGTATACTTTCTCTGGTTTAATATGATTCCTTCGTCAGATCTTAAAACCTCAAGACCAAGAGAGTATTTCAACTCCCCAAGGTCTTTCATTCTGAAATTGCAATTCAGGATGTGCTTTAGTTCTTCAATCATTGACAGATCATTCCCGGTCAATAGTAGGTCATCCACATAGATCAACAACACAACAATCTTTGAACCAATCTTCTTAGTAAATAAAGAATAATCAAATCTACCATGCACATAACCTACTGCTAGCAAAGCTTCTGTGAGTTTCATATTCCATTGCCTAGATGCATGTTTTAGGCCATAAATGGATTTTTGCTATAAACACATGATTTTCCCCCTTACTGCAAAACCCCTCGGGTAAGGTCATGTAAACTTCTTCCTTAAGGTCACCTTGAAGGAAGACATTATAGACATCCATTTGCATAACAGGCCATCCATACAAAGCAGCAAGAGAAAGAACAGTTCTGACAGTAACAGGTTTGGCAGTTGGGGAAAAAGTATCAACATAGTTCACTCCTTCCCTCTGATTATAACCCTTAGAAACCAACCATGCTTTGAACCTTTCAACTTCACCAGAAGCTTTATACTTAATTTTATAGACCCACTTGCAGACAATAGGTGACTTCCCTTGAGGCAAAGTCACAACAGTCCAAGTGCTATTTGACTCCAATGCTTGAATTTCTTCTTTCATGACCTAGACCCATAAAGAATTTTTGATGGCTTTAGAATAAGTGGAAGGCTCAAGGTGAAGAGAAGTGGAAGAAATGAAAGCTTGTGTGTGTGATGGAAGATGGGAATAAGAAAGAAAAGATGAAACAGGATAGGGGCATGAAGAGTACTGGCAAGAAGCAACAAAATCATTCTACCAATGAGGAGGAATTCTAACTCTAGTGGAATTTTTTAAGACACTTCTGGTTGTGAAGGAAACTAACCAGGAATTTCTGTTGAAGCAGAAGGATCTGAACTAGAAGTAGAAAATAAAATGGGTGGAGAACTAGATTCTGAAACAGGGGGAACAGTAGAATCTGGAAGAACATGGATAGAAGGAATATAATCATCAGATAAAGTGACTGATGAAGGATTTAAAACCAAGAAATCAGATTCTGGAATATGTGAATGAGAAGGGAAGAACTTAGTGTGTAGAAGAAAAAGAAGAGTGAAATGGAAACACAGTTTCATTGAATTTAACATCTCTATTGACAAAAAAAGATTTAGAAATGAGACTAAAAAGAAGATAGCCTTTTTGAGTTGTAGAATACCCTAGAAAAACATAAGGGATAACTTTAGGTGAGAATTTATCAGAATAACGGGGTAGACCGGTAGAGTAGCAAAACACAAACATCCAAAGGTTTTTAAATGAGTAGGTGAGGGAGGTTTATGAAAGAAAACTTCAAAAGGACTCTTCCAAGCTAAAACAGAACAAGGAATTCTGTTTATAAGGTAGCATGCTGTCAAAACACTTTCACCCCAAAATTTAAGGGGAACTTGGGAATGAAACCTAAGAGCTCTAGCAATTTCTAAAAGATGGCGATGTTTCCTTTCAGCAACTCCATTTTGCTATGGAGTATCTACACAAGAACTTCGATGAACAATTCCTAAGGAAGAAAAAAGAGGAGACAAACAGAACTGAAGAATTCAGAACCATTATCACTTCTAACTATTTTAATAGTGGTACTATTTTGAGTTTGAATAAAGAGAAAGAACTTTTTTAATGTTAAAATTGTATCAGACTTAAGCTTCAACAGAAATACCCATGTCATCCTAGAAAAATAATCAACAACAGTTAGAAAGAATCTCTACCCACTGTAAGTAGAAATCCTATAGGGTCCCCAAAGGTCCATATGGATAAGATGAAAGGGAGTATCAGCTCTAGAGGAACTCTTAGGAAAGGGCAATCTACATTGCTTAGCTAAAGGACATCCTGAGCAACTATGAATTAAATCAGCATCAACATTAGAAACAAACAAAGATGGAATTTTGTTAATAGTAGAAAGAGATGCATGGCCCAAACGAGCATGCCAATCAATGGTTTTATTAGAAGCAACAGAAGTCATATAAGTCGTGCTAGTAATATCAGACTTAGGACTATCAACAGAAATAGTAGACAAACCAGAAGCAGAACAAGATGACTGTAAAAAAATAAAGACCCCTTGTCTTCCTACCAATCCCCTTCATCATGCCACTTGAGAGATCCTGTAAAAGGCAAAAGTCAGGGTAGAAAACAACAGCACAATTATGCTCAGAAGCTAATTTTGAAACAGATAACATGTTATGTTTAAAATGTGGAACATAAATAACATGTTATGTTTAAAATGTGGAACATAAATAACATTATGAAGAACAAAATCAGAATTAAAGGTAAAGGAACCAGTATGTGTAATGGGAACAGTCTTACCATTGGGCAAGTGGACAAATCGAGACTCAAAAGCACATGAAATAGGATTTTGCAAACATTGGAGACCGGAGAGCACATGGTCCGTTACACCAGTATCAAGGATCCAAGGGACAGAAACAGAAGCAGGACAACTTCGAAACACCATACCTGCAAGATTAGCAGCAGCATCAGTAGGTGGCCCACGATTTAGAAGGTCCAAAACCTGATTGTACTGCTCAGCAGTGAGCATGGAGTAGAAACAGGAGAGGTCGAAACACAATCTGGACTAGGAGATGAATGAACAGACCCATCAACACCATCAGAATTGACCACCAAAGCAGCCTGAAAAGAAGAACCCTTAACGTTTTGTGAATTTGAAGTCAGCAGGGTAACCAATTAAACGATAGCACTGCTCACGTTTATAGCCCCGAACATTACAATAGTCACAGACGCCATTAAACCTACCATGGCGAGAAGATGAGGAAGAATACAGAGCAGTCGAATCCAAAACAGGTGTGAGCCCAGAAGCACCGGACAAGAAAAGCCTCTGAGATTCTTCCTGAACAATAAGGGAATACGCCTGATTGACAGTTGAAAGTGGCTGCATAATCAAGATCTGGCTACGCAAGGCCGAATAAGTCTCATTCAGTCCCACTAGGAACTGAAACAAACGCTGCTGCAAAACATGCGGAAGATTATGTTGAGAATTCGCACAGTCACTGTCATAACCATTTTTTTTAAACAATTAATTTATATTTTAAAAACAATTATGAATTTTTATTTTGGAAAAATAGGTGATTTTGGATTAATTTGGATTAAATTGAAAGGAGTCGCCATCGATATTTGGATTAGGTAGGTCGAATACCTAAAAACGTCTTTTAAAAACAATTTTACAAAAAATAGTTTTTAGACAAAAATTAGTCTGCGTTTACCAAATATTTGATTTAAAAGGATTCGGGAGTCGGTTACGCCTGAGTTTTATTACTCTGAAGATAATGAATGAAGTGAATGATAACAAATGAGGGGAAGAGCTCTCTATTTATAGTTGAGGCCCTCAAGATCCAACGGTCTAGATAAAAGTACATCGACAGCTTACATTGAATCCTACCTTAACTAGAACTCTATCTCTAAGGTATTTGAATTCAAATAAAACATTATTCATAATTAAATCCTTAATTATTGGATAATAATATCCTTTCTAGAATCTTCCAAGGAACGGGCCAGGTCTGATGGTTCTAGGCAAGCCCAACACTCTGTATTATTTTTCTACAGAAATCTGCGCACACATGTCTCGGACCGAATCCACGAGCCTCGACAAAATTGCCCCCATCGAACATGTAACACCCTCGTCGCTTCTCTCGGACGCCTCAGACTTGATCCTTCATGAACTCGAGCCTTTACGGACTCGTAAGCATTCTTCAAGAACCAAGCTAACTCGTCATGCCCAACAAGCCCAAAGTCTGCGCAATAGAACCCCTTCTGTGAACCTTTGCGCCAATGTCCATGGACCCAAAAGTTTAGTCCGTGACAATCTCCCCCACTTGATCTAGCGACGCCCTCGTCGCTAGGTGAGAACACTTGGTCTTGATCACCTTGGACGCTTTATCAAAACACCTTGGCTTCCTCGCCTTGGTTAACACCGTCATGTCTTATCACCATCTAGCACACCGTGGCATTAATCTCGAAAGTAGGAAATCCATCCTACCCGTTTGCATTCACCCCAAACAAGGATACTTTTGATCCAGCGACAAAGAATTGGATAATCCGACAACATACAATACGACAACTCAGATTCGTCGGCAACACTCGCTTATCCTTAAAAACTCTGAAAGTCTTAGATGTCCCTTCCAACCTTTGATAACTCCGCAAAAAAGATGGTTAGGTCCTCGACCTATGCTCATCAACGATGGTGAATCAAACTCAACACTTGGACTTTGTTTGAGATGTCCCTCGATTTCCCTCAGCACATTTACTCTATGTGTCAGCCCTTCTTACTCCACGAAGTCTGGCAATCCATACACCAACACTTCTATCCGGAAGTCTGGTGTTTCTACTCGCATCGGCACTTCTTCCCTTGAAGTTCGGTGCGACTTCCACCCTCTTATATGAGTGGCAAGCTCTCGCTCATCATGTCTCTGGAAAGCTTGGACTCCATCAACCTCTTCTCGATTGTCTCTTCGATGGTAGTCCCCAAAATAATGTTCATCTCACTTAGAACCTCTTTGGAATTGACAGTCTTGCTCGCCCCCTTCGATGGTTCGGCTTTCAAACCAAGATTATCGGCATCCTTCTTTGACATGAATAAATCAGTTGCCCCTGTATCTACTAAGGCAACTCCCGATGGGTCGGTAACGTTGATGTTCACACACATCAACCCATTCTGCTTTCGGCCACTACTTGCCTTGGCAGAACTCAAGTTCATTGAGCCAAGTCTCGTAGCCTCACTGACCTTGTCTTTACCCATGTCCTTGGGTAACTCGATCCTGGGATTCTCCATCTTCTCGGACCACTCGACTTTATCCAGGCAAGCTTGCAACTCTTGTGGCCCCTTACTTCGGTGACCCTTCGTCTGCTCCTTTCTTGCCTTCGGTGTAAGGCACTTATTCGCTTTACTTGTGCCAACATCATACATGTCTTTTCTAGACATGTGTTCACCACTTGAACGATCAGTGCTCAAATACTTACAATTCGAACAAACTTCACTCGAACAAGCATCACTCGAAGAGCCTTGCTCCTCATCATTGTTGGACTGACCCTCATCTCAGATACTTTTGCCATTACCCCCGGCTTTCAACTTTGGCTTGGACATCTTCTTGACTCCAAGTTCTATGATGGACTCTGCGGCTATCAAGGCTTTAAACAACTCCTTGATTCCCCTTCTTTCCATCGTCGCCTTTGCTCATGGCTTCAATCCATCTGTGAAGGTAAAGAATGCATCTTCTTCAGTCAACTCTGAGACTTGGAGCATGAGTTCCTTGAACTCTCTCGCATACTCCTTCAACATCCCCTCATGTCTAAGATTCATCAACTTAGACCATTCGTCACTCTCGGCATGCACTGAGCTCGATTGCTCTTGAAATGTCTAGGACTCTTTTGGTTCTTTGCCAACTCCAGCTTCCACAACAACGGCTACCTCCTCGGCATCCTTGGCAATATTGGGTTTGGGCAACCCGTTCTTCTTTTGGTTCTGACTAACCTTGATAGAAGTAAACACCATTGAACCAAGCTTGGCAGGCTCGCTACTCTCGGCCTTGTCCTTTCCCTTAGACTGCTTGATTCGATTTGGGTATTCCCGCACTATGTGTAGACCTTTTCACCAGAAACACTCCAGTTGCTCTTGTTTCTTTAGCCTCGGCTTTCTTGCTTGGCCCTTGGCTTTCGCACCAAGCTTTACTTCATTGGTGCAATCTCGCACCTTGTGTTTTCCTCCACACTGGAAACACTTCAATGGCTCTCGCTTCTTTACCCTCGGCTTCCCAGCTTCGCCACTTGCATTGGCACCGAGCTTTTCTACATTTGGGCAACTCCTGGCCCTATGTGCTCCTTGACATATGAAACACTTCAGTGGATCTCGCTTGTTTATCCTCGGCTTTCCTGCCCCACTCGCATTCGCACCGAGCCTTTCTCCTGGCTTGACTGCTTTGACTCCCGCAATCGCACTATCTTTGGCTACTTCCCCTTCTGACTTGTCTTCTCCTCTGACAATGGCAGCAAGGCGATTCTTCTCGGGACATCCTCTTATCATGTGAGGACCATCACAGAAGTAGCATTTAAGAGGCTTACTACTCACCTTCTTCTTTGACACGGACTTGGCATTGCCATGATTCCCCGGTGGCTTTATCTGACCACGATCAGTCGATGCCACTTCTTGGCTACTCGAAGAGTTTTCTCTGACATCTATCCACTTTCCCTTGTCATGGTCTCCCCCATTTTCACCACTATCTTCGGGCATGGGTCTAGATGACTCATCATTGATTGGCTTGGCTCCTGCAAGCTCGCACCTTGACTCGGCTACAACTTCGGCTTCCGAACAACTCTGGGTATCACCTTGCTCACTGGCAAGCATCACCCCTGGTCTAAGTCCTTCGACGAAGGTATTACACACACCACCATCACTCATTGTTGTTTTGCACATGAGTATCTCACTCTTGAGCCCATCTATCTCTTCCCTCAATGTCATCAACTCAACCTTGAGCGCATTACTCATCTCTATCAACATCCAACCGTAGAGAATTTGAACCCATCCCTCATGGATTCTAACTATTCAATACGGGACTCCACAACTCGTTGGACCTCCTTGGCTTCTTCTGCGAAGCTCTCAAGGTTATTGATCCTCACCTTCAACGATCCTGGGGTAACTCCCACACTTTGTTTCTCTAGCTCAATCCCAACACCACGACTCTCCGAGCCATTCTTTGTGGGAACAACTCTTTTTTGTTGTACCATCTCGTTTCCTTTCCACAACCTGTCTGGAACACTCGTTGAATCCACAACGGCTTCCATCAACTCGTTAAAATGCTTCTTGTCACAAGACAAGCTTGGATCACTGTTGAATCCACAACACCTACACTCCGACTTGCTTTGACTCGCTTCCACCAACCACATACAAAACGATCGTTGTCTGCCTCCAACAATTCGCTCTATCACTTCTAGTAGCGGGGCTACGTTCTTCGGCTATGCAACACGCTCTGATACACCCCACAACGCCCAAAAACTGATATTAAATCGCTTACTCGTTGTCATAAATGGTATAACTTATAAATCGAATATAAAGTTAATTTATGATCCATTTATTAAATTGTTTAATTTGCTTCGAATTAATTAATTAGAGAAAATTTCTTAACTCGAAAAGAAATCTCGAAATTAGCAATCCTCCATTGGGAAAGTTAACTTGACTATTTCTTGTCAGTAAAAGAATATTCTCTACTCATTGATTTTAAAAAACACAAATCAAATATAAAATGAAAATCGATCTTTGCATAAAATAAATCGTTATTTAATAACATGCATCGCATTGTTCAACTTAAAATAAAAAGAATTAATTAGCAAAATAAAATCAATTTTATTTCAAGTTCACATTTGTTCGAACGTCGTATCGGATTACACCACTTCGATCAAACGATGTTTTTCACGCCCGTTCTACAAATATGTGTTCTTGAAAGCATTCAAATAAACGACATTAAACATATTAGTCATTAAAATGAGCATTTGAGATTGTTCAAAATATCAGTTCTAAAAAGTACATACATAAATATATGAAGATCAAAATATGTTAAATAAATATATACATAATCCTAAAAATTAAAATATATTATATGCATATAACTATTCGATATATAAAAAAAATCTAAATGTTTGGTAAGTATATATAATACACGAATGCATGTAGTAAAATGTATAAAATACATCACTATATACAGACTACAAAACATTAATTATATATATATATATATATATATATATATATATATATATATAAGTCATGGATATATTCAAATATATGTATATATGTAAAAAAAACCAAAATAAGAATATGGAATCCTTAAACGATACCACAAATAAAGGTAATTACAAATACATGGTAATTAAGAGGGCTAAAAGATATTAATAATAATTTGTAATTCTAAACTGCAAAATCAACAACAAACCGGGACAATAATCAAATATATCGAACA